ACACTGTACACTTTGTCTGTCACAGACGTGATGTCCAACGTACCTGCACTCACACCTACACACACATTCGCATGGACACGGACACACACCATTTCTGAGGAGCTGCAACTAGAATTCACTCTAAAAGAAGACATTGAAATCCCTCATGTAATCCACTAGCCTCAATTAAGAAATCTGAGACCTAGGGAAGACTCTTTAAAATACCACTTAGAGTTAACCACGGAATCAGATCTGGAAGCCAGATATCTTTAATTGTCATTCCAGCGCTTTTAGCTACGTACTTGTTTGAATAGATTTAGGGTTTCCCTCCTAGGATGCCTGATGCATATAAAATATTGTCCCTTCTCCGAATAGCCATGAGCATTTCACAAAGACCACAAATCTTTGATGAGTCCTATACATGGAAATGAAAAAAGACAATTCATGACTCACACAATTTGCTTTTGAAAGTAGTCTACTGCAAACCTGAGTTAATGCTGAAAGTACAATTGAGCCTGAAGGACAGATATTTTTAAAAATAAGTTCAAAACCTTTTTCTATTTCATCACCTTCTGCAGCACTTGCCCACGGTCTTTACATCTGCTCATTCTGAAATAGATTGCTTCCAGAGCATTAGAGAGGGAAAGAGAAATAGGCATTTTCTTGGCTCCGTATTTCTAATCTGCTTTTAGACTGATTTATTATAGCGAAGTATATTTCATCTGCACATATTACTAGGATCTGAGAAGACTTCAGCTTAAGTTGCAAGATGGCTTTGTTGGGGTTCAAGTGGGTATTTTCAACCCCATGTTGCTACAATGATATTTTATGGAAAGAAAAGTAAGAGTGTATTTCATGGAAAATAAGGAAAAATAACAGATTTTGTATCATTTAAGAATCCAACAACAAAATGGAACGATCAGCCAGGTGGAGGTAAAGCAGTCCAGGAGAAGCTGAAAGGGTGAATGACCAAAATCCGTGAAATGTGCTTGCTTCAAATGAATAGTAAAAATAAGAACTCATAGCTGCTTGATCATAATGATTAGAAGAAGACAAGAGTGTCTTCTTATTATTAGGTGTCTTCAAATTTCAAGACGTTTTCGTTAACAATGCAAATGTCTATAACGAAATGGTTTTCTGAATGGGAATGGGAATTAGAAACCTCCAACTCAGCTACTGTGTTTGTGTGTGTGTTTATTTTTCCTTTATTTTGTTCACTTTTCCTCGTTTTATTTTTTATTATTTTTTCAATCATTTTATTGGGGGTTCGTATAGCTCTGATCACAATCCATCCGTCCATCCATTGTGTCAAGCACATTTGTACATTTGTTGCCATCATCATTCTCAATAACTCAGCTATTGTTTCCCTCTCTTATTTGCAGCCATTTGTTATCTATGACATGAATTCCTTAATGATGGGAGAAGATAAAATCAAGTTCAAACACATCACCCCCCTGCAGGAGCAGAGCAAAGAGGTAGCCATTCGCATCTTTCAGGGGTGTCAGTTCCGCTCCGTGGAGGCTGTGCAGGAGATCACAGAGTATGCCAAAAGCATCCCTGGTTTTGTGAACCTGGACTTGAATGACCAAGTAACGCTCCTGAAGTATGGCGTCCACGAGATCATTTACACCATGCTGGCATCCTTGATGAATAAAGATGGGGTTCTAATATCAGAAGGCCAAGGGTTCATGACCAGGGAGTTCCTGAAGAGTCTGCGGAAGCCCTTTGGTGACTTTATGGAGCCCAAGTTTGAGTTTGCTGTGAAGTTCAATGCACTGGAATTAGATGACAGCGACCTGGCAATATTTATAGCTGTCATTATTCTCAGTGGAGGTAAGACTCGATTTGGTTTTTCCATGGGGGAGGGGAAGGGAACGCATTTTGACTTTCCTTATTCTTCGTCTCTGTTCCTCTTCGCTCTGAACTTACTCAGTTTTCAAGCAGAAATGCCCACGGCGTGTGTCTCTGGCACTGTCACGGCACGGGTCAAGGCCAGGAAAGAAAGCAGATCGTGGCCGGTGCTTTCGGGCTCTTGATCTTGACCCCTGTCAGCTGTTCGTCCCAAACGAACCCACATTCAGTTTAGCAAATGACAAAGGCTCTCTTCTTCCCTTTGAGAGGGCCAGTCCAATTGTAATCGAAGTGGTGACGGGTATGAGGGCTTCCAAATATTTGTGGAAAAATGAGATTGAAAGATAGTGGATTTTCCTGTGAATCGTTTTGAAGGCCCCTCGTGTAATTTTGCTTAAGCTGGTGCCTGCTTCACGTCTAGGGGCATGACTGAGTGATTTGGGTCAAATTATACCCCTGCCCCCACTATCAGTAAGATGTTTGTCTCTCTTTCACACACACACACACACACACACACACACACACACACACACACACACAGCTGAGCTCTATCTACACTCTCAATTGTGAGGCTGGTGCAGGACCTGGCAGTTCAGTTGCACAGGGCTGGCTATGCGTCAGAGCCAACTTGATGGCGCCTAACAACAACGGACTCTTCCAGGGAGCCCTGGGGGCGTCGTGGTTACACAGTGGGCTGCTAACCACCGGGTAACAGTTCGAAGCCAACTGTCACTCTGCAGGAGAAAGATGAGGCTTTCTGCTCCCACAAACAGTTGCACAGGGACGGGTCGACCCGGCCCTCTAGGGTCGCTCTGAGCCAGTGTCGGCTCCAAGACAGGGAGTTTGGTTTGGGAATCCACTGAGTAGATGACTGTGATCCACGACGTGTACAGGTTTGTTATAACAAATCGCTTTCCATCCTTTGTCGCAGTTTATATTCCCACCATTGAGAGCAGTAGATGTTCAAGGAGGGATTGGAGATGAGTCATTCAGACAGGCTAACTAAGGAAGGCTAGTGCATCAGGGGGCCACTAACCAAAAGTTGGCAGACAAAAAACAGCCGGGACCATTCTAGGCTTTTTTTTTTTTTTTTTTCACTTTCTGAGCAAATATTGTTTCATGATGACAGATCACATGAAACAAGAGTGTAGCCCCATCTGGGAAAATGCTAATACTGTCCTTAACTAAATGTCTCATAAATGGGGTTACTTTAAAAGCTGTGATTCTACCCGAGGTTGGTGGGCGTGTTTGGCCCCAGCTGTGGTAGGCACTTCCAGGTGCTGAGACTCCCAGACCTAAGGGACCAGAAGCCAGTGTCCCCGCTGCACCAGCAGCCCTGCTCCTGCCCTGACCCAGAGCGCCCCTCCATAGCCCACTTCTTTCTGTTCTCACTGTATGGAATTGCACAGAGAGAGCACTCAGCGTGAGGAGGGCTGGGGAGAGAGAGGGCAGGAGTGTGGTCCTGTGGGTTTTATTTTGTTGTTGTTGTTTGTGTCATGTAATGGTTTACAAAATGATATCCTTGTCTTTTCTTTTTACACTTTTCAGCTCATAGGTAGCCTCTATTTATAACATAATTCTTATAAGTGTACTTTTTTTTGAACTCCTGATAATAAGCACAAAAGTATAATGACCGATTTTTTTTGTTTTAAAAAAATCACTGATTCATTGTCGTTAGGGGCCATCAGCTTGATGGCAACGCTGGACACAACAGAAGGAAACTCGGCGCGGCCTGCACCAGCCTCACAATCGCTCCCATGTTTGAGCCCTTGGTTGAAATCACTGTGTCACACACCTGATCCAGGGTCTTCCTCGTCTTCACTGGCCCTCAACTGGTCAGGAGATAGCTCGGAGATGATGGAGAGTAGCTTGGTGCAATGTAATCGTAGGCATTAAAGGCGTGAGCCTTTCCACTTAAACCTTTAAAATGGTAGCATTTCCGTGTGAAGTTCTACAGACAGATGTTTGAATTTACCCTGGGGCGTGGCAATCTAAAAACTGGAGGGGGCAGATGCTGTGGGTCGCAATCAACTCCATAGCCACCGGGTACCCCCCCCTCCTGCCGCCCGTCCCAATAAGAGTGATGATTGCTTTTCCTCTGTCGTGTGTGCTGCTCAATATTGCCTCGGTGTTGTTCAAAAACAAGTTTGGGGCCGACATCCAGGTGACCTCATTCACGTCAGCTTCATGTTAGGGAAGGTTTTTACAGTTGACCCTAGATGGATGGGGAAGATTGGGGAGATGGCTGCTGTATCAGAGTTGGGTGATAGGGAGTGGGGGAGATGGAGGGGAAGTCCCTCGAGAACCCAAAGAGGGTATATTTTTGGATAAGTAAGTCATTTGTCATTTGACCCCTCCGTGTGTGTGTGTGTGTGTGTGTGTGTGTGTGTGTGTGTGTGCTGCTGATGCTGTCAGATTTGGTACTTAGATTTGCTTGGTGCTTAGCATCTCCGCTTTTCACGCAGTTCTCAAACCAAACTTGCTGAGGAAGATGACCTAGTTCTTCTCAGGTGTTTCATCTCTTGTTCCCCGGTGCTTGAGGGCAGGAATTACACTTGCAGGGGTTCTCAGCCTTCCTCCTGCCGCGACCCTTTCATACAGTTCCTCATGTGATGGTGACCCCAACCATAAAATTATTTTCGCTGCTACTTCATCGCTGCGATTTTGCTACTGTGATGAATCGGGCGACCCCTGTGAAAGGGTTACTCGACCCCCAAAGGGGTCTCGGCCCCACGCTGAATTAGAGCCCCTAAAGAGAACCAGCACTTTGTGCCTTTTGAAGAGTGTTTCACGATGTCTTTAGATCCCGACAGTGTTGTTTTTATTTGTGTTTCATCGAAAGAAAAGTTTGTCTGAGATCTGACAACACATGAGAACCCAGTTCTAACTGCCACTGCCGAGTGACTGCCATTGAGTCGATACTGCCCCATAGCGACTCCACAGGACAGAGTCGAACTGCCCTGTGCGTTTCTGAGATGTCACTGTTCTCCCGATCTCCACTACTCCCTGCCCACTCTGCCACCCGGCTGGAGGGTTGCGATCAGTTCTGTCACGCTGCTTGTGTTGGGGCGGCAGCCTCCCTTCACCCGAATCCTCACGGTTTGGGAGGAGAGCCCCAAGTCATGATTCCTTGGTCCACACAGTAAATCACCGTTTTCCTGGTCCCCGTCAGCCTCCCTGACAGGATGGGTGGAGTCACGAGTCATAAAACTGCCTCCAGCGGGGGCATGCTTACAACTGGCGCCACAGCAGCATGCCAGCCACACCAGCAAGCTCCCCAAACCTACCCAGCAACCAGAGCCAAGGGCAGCGCTCAGAAAGCTGACGGGCCCCAGGACGCTCTGCTGGACACTTTGCCTCCTTGAGTGGGACGGTGTTTGCTGTTCGGTGGAGACAGGCATCGAAGGGTTCCAGCTGGCACTCTGCACCAGGAAAAGCGCTTTTTGTTCATTCAGAACAGTTTGGAATCCCTTGCCGTTCTTCCAAAGCTTCCAAGTTATAGGGGAGGGGGCTAGAATCCACTTGGTTTTCACAATATATTTTTCAAGGCATGCTGCCATCATTGTCCTAATGACAGAGCAACTGAACAGAGCAGTGGTCACAGATGGCAAATCATCCAGACGCCTCGTGTGCACCCGTGAAGCAGCTCCTTCTTTCCCAGCAGCCCCACGGTGTTCCTTCTCTCTGAGTCACTGTGAACTTGGCTCCAAATGGTCATGGTCCACCTCTGAGTGAGCAGGGAGAATAGGGCACAGAAAGGGAATGGTTCTCAAAGCCACATGTTCACAGATAAAGGAGAAGCTGGAGTTCTATGGCAGTTGGAGAACATCTAGTTCTAGCAGATGAATAGCCTTGGCTGTGATGATCGATTTCTTTAATTTGCTAAAATGAAAGTCATGCCCAAGCATCAGGCTCAGAGTAAATGCTTGTTGACGAATAATAATCTATGAGCAATAAGGAGAGCTACCATTCATCAAATACCTTATAGAGTCCCCAGGTGGTACAAAGGCGCCCTGGTTGCACAGTGGTTACACATTGGGCTGCGATCTGCAAGGTCAACAGTTTGAAACCACCAGCAGCTCCTCTGGAGAAAGATGGGGCTTTCTACTCCCGTAAACAGTTACAGTCTCAGAAACTCACAAGGGCTGGCTACCCAGTCCTATAGAGTCGCCATGAGTCCCTTGCTTTGGGGGCTTTGGGGGAGGTACAAATGGTTAATCCGCTCAGCTGTAACCAGAGGTGGGAAGTTGGAGTCCACCCTGAGGTGCCTTGGGAAAAAAGGCATGGTGATCTACTTCTCAAAACGCCTGCCACAGAAAACTCCATGGGGCACAGTTCTTCTCTGACACCCAGGGGCGTCACAAGTCAGAATCGACTCAATGACAAGACTGGGCCAGTGTTGCCCAACCATAGGCTAAGCACAGTGCATATATTCATTTACAATCATTTTTAATCTTTAAGGAGCCCCGATAGCACTGTGTTTTAAGCATTGGACTGATGACCTCAACGTTGGCTGTTCAAACCCACCCAATCCTCAAAAGATAGAGAGAGCTGTCTGTTCCCATAAAGATTGATGGAATCTTGAAACCTTATCGAGGTTCACTTTGACTCAGAACCTATGTGATGTCATTGAGCTTGGTTTGGTTTGCAATTCTCCAAAGCCTGTTACCACTTTCAGTTTTAGGAGAGATTAGGCAGCTTGCCCAAAGTCATAGTCTATGAATTGATACAACCACGGTTTCAAGGTTCAGGCCTCTTGACTTTCAAACACTTAACCGTTATACTCTCCTGCCTTTTCTGTGTTTAAATAGGGAATTAATTACCTTGGTGATAGAGTTCTTTGATAGTTATCAAAGTCTATCTATTTCGATACTGCCTCCAACTCTAAAGTGAGAGTTTCCTAGTGGTAGTTCAGAGATTGCTTATTAATATCAAAGCCCTTCTCGAGACACCATTCTAACCTAACAAATGGCACGACCGAG